CTCAAGGACCGAGGTAGGCAGATGTTGTTGTTAGATGGTGTTAAACTATTGTCACACGATATAAGCTGTTCCACATAAAGATTATTATTATTATCATTATTATTATTACTGCATTATTTGAAATAGATGGGATCTAGCCTGCTCTATGTTACTTATTGTCACCAACAGCTATTGGTTGGATGGAATCCTCACCCATCCTGGTTGGATTTTATTGGTTTGTCTGGCTTTTCTATTCATTTGTGTCATGCAGTGAATAGGGTTGTCAAATACTCATAATAATCTTTTGCACTGCTCGACTTTCAGCCACCGTCAAGGAAATCTTCCCCTTTCTATATGATCTATTTAGATGACCACTTTACTCATCTGAAGTAAGGAGTTCTGGCTTATGCCACAACCATTTTTTTTTCTTTTTCTTTTTAAGGTCTGCTGGTTTTGCTACAATAGTGTGACACAGCTCCTTCTCATGATTACCTATCTTTTGATACTGATATCTAGGAATCATTCATCTGAAATCCAAACATTGTTCTGATTAAGGTGCTTTGGTTGATAATGATTCCCTGGCATGCATGTGTTTTGAATTGATTTATAGCAATGCCTCTTAACAAAAAATGCTAACTCATTAATTTTGTGGCCCTGTGATGTTTTAGATCCATCCCATTTATCAAGGTTAGTGTCTGGAGATGTTTGAATCAGGCCAATGTATCTCATTCATCACGAAATAGATAAACAATGCATCTACTAAAGCATATGTTTGATAAGTGTTAAGATGTGCCTGTGAATAATGTCACGTACACCTCTCCAAATGGATTACACACTTTCCATACATAGTGATAATATTCCCTAAGGTCTCGGGGGCTTCTAAAGAGCTGGCTACCCTAGCAATTCAAAATTAGCCAGGTACCCTTGTCTGTACTGCAGGGCTTTATCTGCTGCTTGCAACAGAACCACAATAGCTGGAGCTGTTTGACAGGAATTTGGCCTACAATATGATTTATCTGCCATTACCACTCTAGTTCGTTCAATTAAAAAGCCTGTTTGTCCTTTAATTAATCCCCTTTGAAAAAGACAGTGGTTGCGCTCACACGCACGTTTATTCCTTTATTTGTAACCCAATGTTGAAACACAAAGAACATTTCCCTTCTTGCTCATGCACTTCTTTGTTCACAACTTGATAATCTGGAATCATAAATAACCCATGACTGGAGATATCACATGAAAAATAATATCTATGTTAATTAAAGGCTTGGGAAGGAACAATGGATCGTATGCTTCTCTGGAGACTGCCTGCCGATGGGATTTAAATACAGCAAATTCATCTCAGTTCACCTCATCATATGCCCACTGACATTTGTCACGCTTCAGAATTCAGCATGGATGATCAAGCACAAAGTCATCTTTCGGCAAGATGGGGCTATTAAGGAATAATCTGTGGAACACATTTGCAGGTGCCATGGAAGGCATTATTTCTGGAAAGCCAAGAACAGATGTTGAATAGGAATTTCCCACTTTTAAAACATGGTATGCTATCCACTGTGAACCTGACAAGTTACCTGACAGCACAATCATCTAGTCAGAAGGAAGTTCAGAGAGGCTTTTTCTCAGATAAGTGAAAAGAAGATTGGAGGTGAGAGCTTCCGTTGTGCTGCAGACCTTCACCCACAATATGGGAACAATAACTCCTATCTTACCCTGCAGTTATAAGCATTACTGAGGTAATTCTGTGGGAGGGTTTTTATCACTTAAATGACATCAAATTTGGTGCCTCAAGAGTCACAAAAGCTTCAATTTAGCAGAACCAAGCTCAGTCAGTAATAACCATGCCTATATAGCAATGATTTGATCTGCACATATTAGATTATTCAAATTGTTCGATGTTGGATCTGAGAATCTGCATGCCATGGTTCAGAAACCAATTCAGCCTCAGTGTCTCTATCAGCACAGCGGGTTCACAGTCACCTTTTGGGGGTAACCCACGTATTCTGAAGATGCTACCTATACTTTTGAATGCATTAATTGAACCCTGATCTACTGAATTGCTTGGATTTACACAAGACACTGAACACAAACTAATCACACCAGTTGGGTTTGACAACACACTGAGCCACAAACTAGTCAATTGCATTTTAGTTTTGTGCGTTATCTGAACTACCCAGAGGGTGTTTTTACAAGAGGGAGATAAGGAGGAGTAAGAGCTGAGTACAGCATCAACGCTGCTTTGTTATCAGAATCTCTTCCTTCTCCTCTGCCTCCCACAGCCACCACCAACTGCCCTACAGCAAGCATCTCTGAAGGGAGAAAGTGGCAGGTGAAGATCTTCCCATTGCCACCCACCTATTACTTCCAACTGTTCTGTGGGAAGGATCCTAGAAGTATGTTCATCACTAATATTTCTTGTATTGTACATTGGGAAGGGTTGTTACTCTGAAAGGTAGGGTATAAATGACTGCAATAAATTAGTAAACCAACCTCATGGTCAGAGCAAGATGCAGGGAACTTTTTTACTAGCATACTTATATGTGGATTTGCATAACATGCAAGCCTAAATGTGATTTTAATTTGTGATTTGTGTATTGATTTACTTGCAAAATGTATATGGCTGCCCAGCTTCAATCCGTAACTCTGGGCAGCTAACAACCAGTTCACAAGAGAAACAATATTAAAAAAAAAAACAACCCTGTAAAACAGAACAGAAGACATAGTTAAAAATAAATTCAGTATGTCATGCAAAGCTAGCTTATGTGAGCTACATTTCTCTGTGTTCAGGGTACTGAGTTGTGACAGGAAGCAAACAATACTGTATGCTACATGTACATTATTCATGTTGAGTTCTTCCAGAAGGGGGTGGGTGGGTGGTAGGGATAGCAGCAGGCAGCCAAACTTAGTTGATCTCAAAAAGCCAAGTGAGATCCGGGAGATCCAACATCGTCCTCGGTGACAAACCCCTGCTGGATTGCTGCCATCAGAAAACTCCGAGGCCGGGGCGACGAAGTTACGAGGAAGCTTCATCTTTCCGCCCAGGCGCTCTTTTTACGTTTCCGTGGGTGGGCGTCAGTGCAATGCCTTGGGCTACTCTCCTGGTCAGCAGGAATAATTCACCGGGCAGTGGCCGGTAGCCGTGGCCGGTAGCAGTTGTCGGCGAGGCCCTTTCTCCCCAGCGAAAGCTATCGGCCGATGCCCGGTCTGCGCCCCGTGGAGCCGCTCGCTTCCGGCAGGCGTCGCTTCTCCAAGTAACCGGCGCGGCGTGCGGGTGAGCGACTATACAGCCGCCGGGGATGGTTGGGGGTGGTTCCTCCCCCCCCCCCCGTAGGATAGTATATGGTAATACGGGGGCGGGGTTAAGCCCGGCCTCCTTTTTCTTATGGAAAGCGCGCAGGTTGCTCCGAGGCGCTGGGCTCCGGCTTGTCCGTTTCTGGAGCTGGCGCTTCGGGGGACCCACAAAATGTGACTCACCGCCTCGCTGGCGGCGCGCGGATTGTGACTCTCTCGCCGGGTATTGCCCTGCTTGCTGCACGAGCGACTCTTTCTGCAGGCGGGACATGTTTTGAGGCTGTAAGTGGATGTTCGTTTATTTACTCACTGGGTGTGGATCCTTCTGACTTTCCAAACTTGAACGTTTCCGTCTGCTTACCTGGGCCTCCCCGGTCTCCTTAGTGAAATACTTTGAGGGGAGCGGGGGTGGGGGGTGGGGGGTGGAGGGATTCCCGTGTCGCCGGGAGTCGCGTATAAATAGAGCTTGAGTTGGAGAAAGAATTGACGCCCTCTGCAAAGTGGCTCGTCCAGAGTTGTGGAACTACAAGTCCCATTGTCTTCGGCCGTCGTGGCCCATCGTCCCCCGAGGAGCTGTCAGTCTTGAGTCGTCAGCATACTTATTCCGAAGGGGGTGCCCCGGAACGGGGACCGGTGATAGAATCGCGACTGAGTGTCTGCCTCGCCTTCCTTTCCTTTAGCCAACTTCTCAGCCCCGCGCCCAGTCACCATTGACGTGAACTTTCAGGAGTTAGAAAGGCAGGGAGAAAATCATCTTAATTCAGCCGGGGAATAACTTCCTGTTTATAGGTAAAAAAGCAAACCAAAACGAAGCAAGACCTCTTGGGAGGACAAGTGGGGGAGAGAACTGACAGCTGTTTTAACTGCAGTTTTTTAAAACATGTCTTTATTTAAAGAATTTGCAGCTAGGCTGGCCGGTGCTACAAAAATGGCTTAGAATTGTGTGCTTTAATATTAATCCAGGCGAATGTGGATCTGCTGTCAAGGTCTCTAGTGGACCAGATAGGATTTTGAATATATGCAGAATCATTCCTAATGGAATAGTAATAATGATAATGATAATAATGGGACAAGGTTGTGAGAGGAACATCCCAACTACTGACAAGCCAGAATGCAGTGTTGGAATTGAAGGGAGGAAGGTTTGGGGAGGAGATGCCCCACACCTGATTTCCTCTAACTTTAGCTGCAGTCCATTCTCCATAGCTCCCTTTGTTTAAATAAAGATGGGGGGGGGGTAGTTGTACGGTAAGGGTGTTACAGAACTTGCCTTCCCCTTCCTGTTTATTTGAATATTGTATATATGGAAACGTGCCCTGAATCCATGTTGTATTCCATGGCTCAGCTTTTTTTTTTTTTTTGCTATGTGCCAAATGTAACATCCCAGGGTCATCTTATCCATGTAAGTGTCTGAAATGTGCTGGAAAGGGAGGGGATTCCTTTGTCTGCTTCCTCTTTGTGCCCTTGGTGGAACATCATTAAGAGAGCAGCACCAAGCCTTTGGACATGTCCTGTTGCTTTCCAAAAAAGGAAGGGGACACCCACCAACTCCTGTATTTCTGTATCTTGGCAGGCTGGGCAGCCTCTCCCGTTGGAGGATCTGAAATTCAGCTCTGCTTTCCTGATTGTCTCTCCCATGCCTGCGGATGCTCGCTGGCTCTGCCGTCTTTGGGGGTGCTAGCTTTGAATTTTCCAGTGCAAAGTTTCATCTGGGGAGCCAGGTGAGGGAGACCTCCTTGCCTGATCAAAAGCATCCATGCCAGGAAGAACAGCGGGTGTGGTCTTTGGCAGAAGGGGTTGGCTTGTCTTGCAGTGGACACACACTTCCTCTAGCTGATCTAATAATCTTCCTTTGTGCCAGTCGGTTTTTCCAATGCTAATTCTCTTTGTTGGTGGAAGGGAAGGGAATAAATGCTCAATTCAGTCTGGGAGCAATGAAGTTATTGCATATAAGCAGAGATCCTTACAGCAGATGACAGAAAATGGGGGGAGGGGCAGGGAGGGGGGAACACCAGCATTCTCCCTTATTAAGAGTGTGCTGGGAGTATGAGCTGTTCTGTTTTTACCTCTACTATTCCTTCACAGACTCAGATTCCTCCTCCACCACACACTGGCAGCAATATTGTTCTGCCTAGCAGGGAAATTGAATCAGTCTTCTTCAGCTCATTGGACTACCACTCCAATAATTCCCAGCCAAGTAATCTAGAGGATACTAGGTTTGGGAATGCCACTGTAAAGAATGGTGATCTATTGAGGTAGAGGCTCTTTCTTTCTTTTTTTTTTTCCTGTTAAAAATCACATTCCCTTTGGGACAATTTGTTGTGGATGGCAGCAATGGTAAGGAGAAATAAACACGTCCCCTGGTTGAGCTTGATTCCTGGTGGGGCAGGAGCAAAAAGACTGATCTTTTGCTTTTTATTTTTCCTGGCATTTCACCCTCTTCTTCCCTGCAGACTGCTGGAGGGGGGCAGTTTGCTTTTGCCAAAAAGCTGGTTACTTGCAGAGTACCCCTCTCATTCATTGCTTGGTTAGGATTTGACTTTTTTTTTCCTGCTGTTTTTCTGTACTTACTTATTTATCCACCCATCTATCTTTCTTGGCTTACCACCGGTATCAGATTATACTGCGGGTTACATGCATTTCTTAAACTGTATCCCCCGCCCCCACCTTGCTGTAAAGAGTTTGAAAAGTATTTCATCCTTTTGAAGCATTCTTTCTGTCCCTAATACTGTTGGTTTATATGATGGAGAGAAATAAGGCAGATTATTAAGTAACACAAGCTTGTCAGCCCTCAACATCTATTTTATACTGACTGACTTTCTAAAAAAAACCCTTCATGAAGTAACTTACAAAAACTACGGGAACAAGGATAAGATCCAGTTTAAGTGCCGCAAAAAGGAGTTGACTTTGAATACCTGTTGGTGCAAATAAGGTCAAAGATGGGGGTATGGAACATATGCCATAATTGAAATAAACACAGAGCAAGTGTTGGTCCTGGTGGTAGTGGACAGTTCTAAACTTCCTAAAAGGTGAAATCCAATGCAGAATATGCTGGCAGATACCAAATCTTTGATGGCAGGCCATAAGCAATATATTAAAGCAGTCAGCAGCTTGGAGATAAACAACTCGGTGCCCTTCTGAAGCTTTGGTCATACTCCCATGATCCCTTGCTATTGTCATTTCTGGCTTTGTTAGTGAGTTGATGTCAAAGGCATCTAGAAATTATTTGTATTTATTTTATCAAATTTCTACCCACTCTTTCTTTTTTTTCAATAGTCCCTGGGGCTTATGGTGATTAAAAATGCAAAATATAAACAAAAACATTACTATTACATTAGAATTAAATTAAACATTGGAATAAATTTAAAAGTTTTACCATCATCCTAAATATTTGGAGAGTGGGGACCAAATGCATCTCCCTGAGGGAATGTTCCACAGCCTGAGAGCTTTGCGAGATCTTTTCTTGTCTACTACATGGTAGAGCTTCTGGCAGCAGAGGGATCTTCACTAGGGCCTCTCCTGATGCTCTGAGTAGCCAGGTAGATTCATAGTGAGAGTTCAGATTCCCTGACTCTGTACTCTCACACTGATTGATTGATTGATTGATTATGTGCCATCAGGTCATTGTCTACTCTTAGCAACCATACAGATAGGTTTTTTCCATCATGATTAAATGCCTCCAGTGCTACTTGTTTTTATTTATCCAGAGCCTATAAACAAATGCAGATATACAACTTTTACTGTTCACTTTCTGAACTAGTTTTTCATATACCCTCCCTCTCTCACACACAACTGTAAATACCTATGCAGTTCAAAATCTAGAAGGCCAGGCTGAGTTTGAGGTCCAGAAGAACTGAGATAGGAAACCCAAGATGTAGAGAAACTAATTCTTTCTCAAGTCTCCAAAGTACTGCAATTCTCTTTCAGTTCACATGGAAAGCATATGTTGTTTTGGAATTCAGCTTTGTTATGAGAATAGTCTTGCTTTCAGAACCAGCTCTTGTGACTTTTTAGAAGTCTTCATTCTCTTATTTTTCCATGTGCTGCAGAAGCTGACATCTACCAGAGCAATCCTTTTGCTTTAGGCATCCTTTGAGTGGGTTTTGTTTACTCCATTTTTCATAATACATCCATTCATACATTCACACAAATATATGGTGCATGGGAACCAAGGCACTGTAAGTCAATATATATGATAGCTTCATAGAAACCCTGGTAATAATATGATGTCAGAGTAGAAGTATAACAAGTTTTTAAATTGTATTATTTAAAGTATAGCTTCCTCCCTTGCTCTTAAAGCTGAAAAAAGGCTTCTAGAATGGTTTACATATCAAAGTAAACATCAGTTCCCATGATACTGGTGCAGGTTTTCACGGCCGGTATCTTTTGGGCACTGCTGGACTTCAGGGTATAGTGACTGTGGTCTAGACAACAGATTTCCTGACATTTTGCCAGTGACTGTGTCTGGTATCAGGACACCTGGCTATAAAGACAGGACCCCAGTCAGTCCCTGCTCAGTTGCCTGTGGTCTCCATAGCACACCACCTTGCCTCTGAAGATGCCAACTACAGTTGCTGGTGAAGCATCAGGAAATCTGTTGTCTAGACCAGAGTCACTAAACCCTGAAGCCCAATACTGCCTGTCAGTTCCTATGCTTTTTGATTTAAAGCCAGTATTCTGAGTGGGCCCTGGGAATGATCTTTGTAACAAACCCCAGGCAGCAATGAAACAGAGTTGGAATCTTTGCTATGTTTTTAGCTGTTGATCTCTGACTTGTTTGGGAGAGATGAGATAGGGATCTAGGTTCACACCTCATGCTGAATAAACTAAATGGAACTTCTGCTTTAAACTGACTTAGCAGGAGGATTTAAGAAGGAGCACTATATTCATTCAGCTTGCAGATTTCTTCAGACTTAAGATGACAAGTTGCCTTTATATTTCTGGGGATGTCTGCAAAATGTGTAGTTAGAGGCTAAAATGGGCTGGTAGAAAGCACTCTATAGGCTCCAGCAAGAGTAACTTGAGCAGCCCATGCAACACAACAAAGTTGGAGCTTGTTGCTCCCAGTGACTTGGCTAGTTTTTGATTTCCTTGTTTTTTTCCCCTCCTCATTTTTTAGGCTTTTATAAAGGACAATGAAGATTAATATCTTCAGTCTAAGAACTGACGTTGTAAATTAACCCTTGAAACAGCTTAATGTTACCCTGCTAATTCATATTTTGCTGCCAGATCTCAGTGGCCCAATAAGGGGTATCTGCAAACTGTGCCATTCATCTGCAGGCCCC